TGAATAAACATTTGGACTATGTATTTTTGGGGGATTATTTCATGTTCTAGTTGAATGTACTAGCACCCCTAACACTTATTTTTGCTAGCTATATAATCTGCCCAAATCTTCCTGAGTGCACTTATGCAGGTATGTCCAAACTAACAAACCAAAAGCCACCTATTGCACCAAAAGACCATGTTATGTACCAATGAATAGGTTGTGTTCAATGTGCAGCTAGCTATTCTTTTTCTATAATCCTTTTAACAGTAATACATTAGGCCCCCAATTTATGTTGACTTTGGGCCTTTACTGCAAATATATACTTGCCAATGTCACATAGAGCTGCAAACCTACATTTACCATTGCCAAATCCACAATAGAACTGCAGACATATTTGTGAATGTCATATACACAATGGAGCCGCATGGAAAATTGCTATGGTGCACAAATAAATGCCAAGATGGCTGTTGGAGGTGCTAGAGCAGGTGCAGAAATACGTCATGACGTTTGCGGAACGATGTTTGCACACACCCAGAAGTGGTAGTGGGGAGTGTGTTGGATGGGAGTGTAGTTAGGAGCGTTTAGTGGTAATTTGCAATTCTATTTTTTAACTTTGTGAATTGTTCTTTTGTGGAATTCCAGACCACATCTGGACATGGCAAGATTGCTGCTCACTACCAAGGAGCTGATCCACATTTGCCGGGGAAACATTACTAATGTTGTATTTTCAGTTGAAAACATGTCCAATTCCTAGATCCATTGAGGTACATAGCAGAGGTTCAAGGTATTCCATAGAAGTTATTGTTCTTCCTAACTACACAGGTGGAACAGACAAGCATACACCCAGTGCCACTGTTAGATATCATGCCGCCCCCCGTACAGCATACCTGACAGCCTCCCACTGCCAGAGAAAATATCCAAATTATATTGTAAAAATACACTAATGGACAACCATATTCCAACCAACCATATTCCTGTGAAATCTAAATGATAAAACTGTACTGAGTTCATAAATAAAGCTGTGTGTGAGATCATTTAAAGAATTAAAAGAGAATAAGGGAGACATTTTTATTGGAATAGATGAGTGGAAATATCATCAGTTAAAATGTTTTATTGGAAAATTACCAAAACCCCTTAGACTAAAAAAGGAGTGGAATATGTTTGAAAGGTTGTTAGAAACACATAGAGATGGAAACATGGTATTGCTAAAATTTATAGAATACTCACAGAATTAGACACAGACACAAAGTTAATTTTTATAATGAAATGGGAAAGAGATATGGAGGTGGTGCTAGACGAGGATCAACAGAACAAGATATTTAGATTGATACATGAGAATGTTAGTATGAGAGACGTGGAGAATAATTCTAAATGTTTGACACGATGGCACATTACACCGAGTATTGAGCACAAGATGAGTGGGGAGAACTCAAAAATGTGTTGGGGAGGTGGGCACGGTGTTTCACATATGGTGGCAATGTCTGAAAATTCAGGCTTTTTGGCAGACAATAGTTAATTTAATAGAAATAACTGGAAATGACATAGGGTTAGACCCAACGATGTGTCTCCTACATAATTTTGAGACAACAGTAAATAAATATAAAGAATCAGGCGTATGGTACTATTTAAATGCTGCAAAGGGGTTGATACCCAAGTTCTGGCAAAAAACAGAGGTGCCGAAGGAGGAAGACTGGATCAATAGAGTAAATCAGATTAGTAGAATGGAAAAATCTTACTATATGCAGGAAGATAGGATGGGGATATACTATACAAGATGGGAAAAAATGGGAAAAATCAGGATTGAAAGAGAAATATAGAAAACTATAAATTAGGAAATTATTGGGCCTTGAGAGATTGGAGAACTTGCAGAGGGGAGGGAGGGGGAAGGGGGGTGGGAAAGGGTTGGGAGGGAAAGAAAAGAGTTATTAGAAGGGGCAAGGTAGAAATGTAGTGATTATTTATATGTATTGTGTCTCTTCTCATGGAATTTTTGTAATAATATGAAAATTTAATAAATATTTAAATTAAAATAAATAAATAAATAAAGCCGTGTGTAATTGAGGTCTTGGGGCTCATGGGTGCTATGGCCTGTAGAGTGGGGATCAGTGGTTTGTTTTTGTGGCTATCGCCGTTTGCAGGCAACCTATGTTGCACAATGGAAATGCTGCAGGTCGTATTTTGACAAGCAAATGGGTGCAGGTGTACAGCCCTGAACACAGACAGCGAGCATTCAGGGCCACTTCCCCACGCCTTCACACTTGTCAGATTAAAAACTGTGTTCATACAGCTGCTGTGTCCCCATAGTGTAACAGGTGGCTCTAGCCACATGAACAACCCACTCATTCATGCTGTACAGGCCAGGGGACCTGTGTGAATGGGGCATTTTGTGTTTTTTTTTTTTTTTTTTTTCCTCAGCCCATTAAATTTAATGGGCTGCCTAACGTGTGGAAACATGCCAAAATTCTGCAGGCATATTAATTTTAAAAGTGTGCAGCACCTAACCGCACAGTAGTGTCGTGCCATGCGTTTGTGGCTATGAATGGGTCCGTTTTTAATAGACGTTTGTAGGTGCAATTACATTTTCAGCATGATACCTGCGCACATCTATAGAGGGCATTGCATTACTTTGCTGTGCTGGAAAATGCCATGCGTTTTTTTTTGGCTGTGAATGGGTCTGTTTTTAATAAATGTTTGTAGGTGCAATTACATTTTCAGCATGATACCTGCGCACATCTATAGAGGGCATTGCATTTCTTTGCTGTTCTGGAAAATGTGTGTTCTTGCATGCGTTTCTGCACTACAAATGGTGTGAACAAGTCCTAAGGGCCAGTTCACACTATAGAAACAGTCTAGATGTGTTCCTGATGCGTTTTTTTTCATGCCCTTTTGGCATGCATGTTTAGTGTGTTCCAGTACATTTTGGATGCGTTGCATTGCATTTTTGTATGCCTTCCAGTTTGTTTTTTCTACTTTCTTTTTATTCAATTTAATTAGGGACATGTGCATTTTAGTACATTCAAGGACGTTTCAACGTGTTTCAGTACAGTTCTGTGCAGAAACAATGCAGCGTGGTCAACTTTGTTTACAGCACCTGCAATGCACTGAAAATGCAAGTGCTAATGTGAACTATCACATTGACAACCATATAACCTTCTTTCTGTGCGTTTGTGATGCTGAAAAAGCAACTGAAAACACATGTAGTGTGAACTGGCCCTAAAGATTATTAGAGGTCAGGGAACGGGACTGACCAGGAATTGTGAATTCAATCAGACTAGTGGTGAGATACAATCAGCAATCGTATAATAATGTGAGTTCTGATCTGTAGCGGATAGAAAATGAGACACATTCACTTGATCAATAAATAGATAGTTAAAAAGAGTGGGGCGGTGATCCATAGATTTGCATATGGGACAGGTGATGATGGGGTGGGGGGGAGCGGGTCAAGTTGTATAAGGAGACAGATTTAAAAGATAAAAAAAAGTTACAATGAAATATACACAGCATGAAACTTGCACATTTCCAAATTGTCAGAAGAACAGGATGCAGGTAACATTCATCTACTTTCTAGTTATTAGGCAAAATCATAATTGAGTGATCAATATTCCTGACACTGATACAACCCAGAAAATTGATCTCCATTTTTTTTAACGTTCATAAATGTCAAGGAGTTTATATTCTAAAGGGCAGAAACTCAACCATGTACTAGGCCCAATGAACCTAACAGCATGTCTTTTGAGTGTTGGCAGAAACACATCCATACAGGGAAAGCATGCAAACTGGGATGCAGCCATGACTGGGATTAGAACCCATGACGCAAGTGCTGTAAGTTCTGAGCGCTAACCACTAAGCCACTGTGGGAGACACAGTTTGAGCTACAATGTAGAATAGTTACATTGTTTAAAAATGATAAAGTGAGCGCTGGTAAAATTATATAGACTACTAAAATGGTATTACACAAGATAAATATAACCACAAACAGTAGTGCATGAACTCGTGAAAGGTCATCCACCCTTGTGACAGTGTACTACACTATTAAGCACCTTTCTGGCTCCTGTGGCTGAACTAATTCCTCCCCAGGACCATTTGGGCACCCACCTGATGGATGGCTGGATGACTAACCCATAGCTGCCAGCATACTGCTGCACCCCCAGATGTGTGATGTGTATAACCCATGCGCATTAATACTTTTGTTCTGGTGAGTGTAGACCAGTCCCAAGGGTGGTTTATCTTTCACGAGTTCATGCACTACTGTCCATCACGGATAAACCACACGTGTCATTCATAGGTACTCTCTGTCAGGGATTCGGGTATGACCAGAAGTGTGTGGACTGACACAGGGAAACGTAGGATTCAGATATAGTAAATAATATAATTTATTGAGACTAACAATACAAATATAAAACGCAGTGCACCAAACCCCAAGCTAACACAAATACATACAACAAGGTGAAACAAACCCAAACTGATATAGATACACAGGTACATACACATATAGAGCACAACGTAGTCAGGCAGACCGGGTCAATAACTATCGGGCAGGTAGGTACAGGAGGAGCAGGTGGAGAGAATGGTCAGGGTCACAAGCCAGGGATCAAACAGGAGAAGTCAGCAGAGGTCAGGATCAGGCAGGGTCGGCAACAAATCAGGCAGAAACAGGAACAGGAATGCAGGTTACAAGATACAGGGGCCCATGGAAAAACACACACCAAGGCCCTGACTGTGAGTTTGGCCATTCCTTAAATACAACCCCTGCAATCAGCTTTAGGTGTTTTGGCTGACTGCAGGGGTGAGTCTCTGATTGCTGAGAGCACCCGCTGGCCAGCCCTGGTACTGCAGCCCACAAGGCAGGTGCATCCCACCGTTATTGGCAAGTCCATTCCTGACAGTACCCCCCCCTCAAGGAGCGGCCTCAGGATGCTCCAAACAGTCCTAGCTGGGTAAAATGTTCCACCGCCCGGGTCCGGTAACTGGCGGGATAGCAAAGACCGGCACATCGTGCTGGGCCCCGGTTGGAGGCCCATCGGGCTGGACACCGGACGGAGGCCCATCGGGCTGGGCCCCGGACGGAGGCACATCGGGCTGGGCCCCGGACGGAGGCGCATCGGGCTGGGCCCCGGACGGAGGCGCATCGGGCTGGACACCGGACGGAGACGCATCGGGCTGGACACCGGACGGAGGCGCTTCGGGCTGGACACCGGAAGGAGACTCATCGGGCTGGACGCCGGATCACCAGGTGGAGCGGCAGGCACCGGGCCCCCAGGCAGGGCGGCAGGCACCAGGCCCCCAGGCGGAGCAGCGGGCACCGGGCCACCAGGCGGGGCACCGGGCCACCAGATGGGGCAGCGGGCACCGGGCCACCAGGCAGGGCGGCAGGCACCGGGCCATCTGGCTCGACAGCGGGCATCGGGTCACCAGGTACAACAGCGGGCACCGGGTCATCAGACATTGGATCGTCTTGCTCGACTGCGGGCACCAGGTCATCTGGCTCAACAGCGGGCATCGGGTCACCAGGCACGACAGCGGGCATCGGGTCACCAGGCATCAGGTCATCTGGCTCGACAGCGGGCACCGAGTCATCTGGCAAGGCAGTGGGCACCGAGTCACCAGGCATGACAGCTGGCTCTGAGTCAACTGGCACGACAGCGGGCATCAGGTCACCAGGTATGACAGCGAGCATTGGGTTATCAGGCATTGGATCATCTGGCTCGACAGCGGGCATCGAGTCATCAGGCACGACAGCGGGTATCGGGTCACCAGGCATGACAGTGGGCACTGGGTCATCAGGCATTGGATTGTCTGGCAAGACTGCGGGCACCAAGTCATCTGGCAAGACCGCGGGCTCCGAGTCATCTGGCAAGACCGCGGGCCCCGAGTCAACCAGCCCAACAGCGGGCTCCGAGTCAACCGGCCCAACAGCGGGCTCCGAGTCAACTGGCAAGACAGCGGGCACGGAGTCATCTGGCAAGACAGCGGGCACCGAGTCACCTGGCATAATAGGATCATCAGGCTGGATCAGTTCATCAGGCTGGGTAGAGACATCAGGCTGGGTAGAGACATCAGGCTGAATTGTGGGTGCCGAGGCACCAGGCTGAACCACGGAAGGCGGGTTCTCAGACGGCAGGCTGACCGGTTTGGATACTGGCAGGATGGTACTGGTTGGAAAGAATTTTCGCTTTTTTTCTGGTTTTAGTTACTGAAGGACTGTAAGTAAACGCAGGTCTGTACACGAATGGAGCAGCTGAAGACAGAGAAGAGCTGGAGGATGGAACAGAGGAGGGAGAAGTTACTACAGAGGACTTCTTTACAGGGTTAAAGAAAGGATAGGTGCAGCGAGTGGGAGCAGGGGACTGGTATGTGGTAGTTAGCAGAGTATACTGGGCCGTCACTGGGGGTGCTGTCGGGGATGCAGGAATAGTGCCTTGAGCAGAGGAATGATGTTGCAAGCCGACTGAGGCTGGGTGCTATAAGTCTGACCATGTCTGCAGTATGGGTTGAACAAAGCTCCGCTTACACAAAGCCTGTCTGGTCAAAGACTGCACTGCGTTTATACAATCTCTTAGTACCTGTTGTGAACATGCAGAATAACGCTCCAGAAAGTAATCCACATCAACCTCTAATAACCATACCAGGGACTCTACCTGGTCGGCACTAAATGGCGGCAAAAATTCATCCCTGCATTTGGGGGTACCAGATGAAACCAACTCAGCACAAACCTGAATCAATGGCTGCACCTCAGAGAATTCTGTGCCCTGATCTACTAGGCAATGAGCGATCCTTATACACTCTAGTAGTTGATCCCGGGTATACTCCTTCAGAGTCTGATAAGCATAATCCCTGTCATCAAACACTAGTAGAGATAAATACAAAACCTCATCAAGATTCATCCTTCCCAGCAACAAGCCAAGATGGCTTCCCTGTGCAGCCACTTCTGGTCAGGATTGGCCTTGGTGTAATGTCAGGGATGCGGGTATGACCAGAAGTGTGTGGACTGACACAGGGAAACGTAGGCTTCAGATATAGTAAATAATATAATTTATTGAGACTAACAATACAAATATAAACGCAGTGCACCAAACCCCAAGCTAACACAAATACATACAACAAGGTGAAACAAACCCAAACCTAAACTGATATAGATACACAGGTACATACACATATAGAGCACAACGTAGTCAGGCAGGCCGGGCCGATAACTATCGGGCAGTAGGTACAGGAGGAGCAGGTGGAGAGAATGGTCAGGGTCACAAGCCAGGGATCAAACAGGAGAAGTCAGCAGAGGTCAGGATCAGGCAGGGTCGGCAACAAGTCAGGCAGAAACAGGAACAGGAACAGGAATGCAGGTTACAAGATACAGGGGCCCATGGAAAAACACACACCAAGGCCCTGACTGTGAGTCTGGCCATTCCTTAAATACAACCCCTGCAATCGGCTTCAGGTGTTTTGTCTGACTGCAGGGGTGAGTCTCTGATTGCTGAGAGCACCCGCTGGCCAGCCCTGGTACTGCAGCCCACAAGGCAGGTGAGTCCCACTGTTATTGGCAAGTCCATTCCTGACACTCTCTGAGTTGGTACTCTCACACGAAGGACATTCCATTATTCAGGAATGATTATAATACCATTATTATAGCACCATTTACCATCATTATTGCAATTATTTGCACTTTGGGTTTTACATGCGTTCATTATTGATCACATGCATTTATAGCTAGCGCTGCACTATGACTTTAACATAGAATAGTTACATGATTAAAGAGAAGGAAGCTATATCATTATATTGGGAACTTAGAACTAGACATTCCAAATTATTTGAGATATAAGTGTGAAAAATGTTTAACATTTGAAAATAGAATGTATAACATTCATTAGTAAATGCATTAGTAGTTTGATCATTTTGGAGAAACAGCAAAAAAAAAAAAAAAAATTATAATATAGGTGTACTTTTTATATTACATTCTAAGTATTCTCTTATGCAAACAAAAAAACGCCAATGGTACAAAGCCCACGCTTGTGCACCATCTAGCGAACATATCCGGTATTGCACCTAAAAATGTGCCAGACGCGATTCCACATTTACTAATAGCAAACTAGACGTTTGTCAATGAGATTGCTAGACGCCTCTCAGAAGACTGACAGGTCTTGATTTAATTGAGTCTGCCTGAATGTTCAGAGTCTGCTGGTAGACTCAAGTCTTAGTAAATCAGGGCCAGTGTGTCGAGACACTTCAAATTAAAGCATAATAGTGACCCTAGTTTATTGACTTTCTTAGGGATAGATAGAGTTAAACAACATTGGAGAGGTTCAGATATGATCAATGAGACTTCCAAAAGAGAAACATTTTGGATATATGAATTAAATTCCTTAAATCCCAATGGATTAAATATTGATATCGATTCAAATTGTTTTCTCACCAATTTTTAATTTTTTTGGGATTTAGTTAGCTCATATGGTTGTAATTGAGCTACTGTCACGTACCTGATAGAAGTCTGAATTGACGAGGTCAGCCTCTCTTGTATCTCCAACCCAGGCCCCACTGAAGGTGAAACAGATGGTGCCGAGGGACAGGAGGAACACGAGTGCCTGTGGATATTAATTGTGGAACTTGTGGCTGGGATGGCCAGCTGGGGTTACAGACGCACTCCACTGGAACTGCAAGATCTGTGTACATGGCTTCTGATAAGCATGAGGCCGGAACACACAGTGATAACTGGACCTGATGTAATGACAGACTGCACAGGCACTCGGCAGGACTGTAGAGCCAGGACTGTAGAGTCAAAACTGGAGCCAGAAGCGTAGTCTGAGTAATAGCCAGGGTCAGCAACGTGCAGGCAATGAGGTACCGAAACATCAGACAGGGACATGGTCAGGAGGAAGCCAGGATCAGAAACCAATGAGCAGAAGCATAAACAGAATCCAAGAGCAGGTCAATGGCAAGCCGGGTCAGTAACTGAAACAAACAGGATACAGGAAGTTAGCTGAAGACCAGTCAGCACTGACAGAGAGTAAGAGCTTCCTTTAAATAGCCTGTCTGGTGCCAGAAACAGTGGGCACGCTCCCGCGTGTGTGCACCCCGTGCGCGTGCATCCTTGCACGCATGCTTGAGCCTATGCTTATTTCTATTAGCCAGTTGCCGTACAGGAATTCCCTTACATTGCCCCCCTTAGGAGCAGCCTCCGGATGCCAACCATAGTTCGTTTTTCAGGCTGAAGACGGAGGTAAGACTGCACCAACCGTGGAGCATGAACATTAGAGGAAGGTTCTCAAGAATTCTCTTCTGGGACGTAGCCTTTCCATTTAATGAGGAACTGAGTCTGACCCCCCCTTTTCCTGCAACCTAGGATGGCTTTAACCTCATATTCTTTATTTCCTTCAACAAGCAGTGGAGCTGGAGCCTCTAGTTCCCAATCAGGAAATGGGTTTGAAATAGTCCGTTTTAATAATGAAACATGAAACACAGGGTGAATTCTTAAACTTTCAGGCAGAGTTAACTCAAAAGCTACAGCAGTAATCCTCCTCTTTACAGCAAAAGGCCTGATATATCTTGGTCCCATATTTCTTTGCGGGACAGGCCAATTTTAAGTTGGCAGTTGATAGCCATACCTTATCTCCAGATTACCCCTCTTCTTCTTATCAAAAAACCTTTTATTGTTTGCTTGAGAGTTAGCAATGGCTTCTTGTAGGAACTGGTTATTGGACCTCCAAAATTCCAGGCGATCCTGCACAGCTGGTTCTGAAGATTCTTGAGGCAAATCTGGCAGGAAGGAAGGATGAAATCCATAGTTTGCAAAGAATGGTGTCTGTTTTGTGGAGGAATGCACTGAGTTATTATAAGCAAATTCTGCCGAAGAAAGAAGAGGCGCCCAATCATCTTGCGCAATGGAAGAAAAACACCACAAGTACTGTTCTAGGGTCTGGTTTGTCCTCTCTGTCTGACTATTAGTTTGTGGATGGTATGCCGAAGACTGAAAATGTTTAATGCCCAACCCTTCACATAAGGATCTCCAGAACCTGGAAGTGAACTGTACTCCACAGTCAGAGGTGATGCTACTGGGGACACCATGTAGGCGTACTATCTCCCTGATGAAGGCAGATGCAGTCTCTGCAGCAGAAGGAGTTCCTTTTAAGGGCACAAAGTGGGCCATCTTGGACAAACGATCCACCACCACAAAGATGGTGGTGCATCCTTCTGATGGGGGTAACTCCACAATAAAGTCCATGTAAGGAAGCGGCTCTGGCAGACCCCAATTCTTAGTTCTCTCGGTCTTATTTCGTAAGCATGCTGTGCATGATTTAACATAGTCCCTGCAATCTTGCATCAGGTCTGGCCACCAAAATGAGCGAAGAATTAGATGTGAAGTCTTATGAACTCCAAAATGACCTGCCAGAGGATGATCATGACACATATAAAGAATTGCTGTTCGAAATTGCTCTGGAACAAAGATCTAATCA